GGTCTGGCGCTGGCGCAAGACACTGGCCAACTGCCTGGGTGGCCTCAAGCCGCCTTATGGAGAACAAGGCCGGCTGCTCTTGCGCGCGATAGAAGTCTGCAACTCGACTGCAACATATCAGATTGCTACATTTGTAAGACTCGACCGTTCTCTCCCTGCGTACTGAGACTGGGATGAGCTCCCACGAACGACCCGGCCGACAAGCAGTTGGCCACTGCCAGACTACAAATCGGCGCAAGAGTGCGATAAGTTCGTGACGCAAGAGCTGCTGTATTTGAGTCCGGATCTGGCATGGGTGATGCTTCAACTCCAGATAGATATGCCGGCGTGGGCCGTTCCTTGGCTGCAAGAGCTGAAAAAGTTGTATTGCAATTCAAGCGAGAATGTTTCTTGCGCAATCCCAGGCGGTCTTGGCGGTAAGATCCCACCCTTGCCAGAAGCGCGCGAAGGCGTTCGCCAAGGAGCTCACGCACAAGTTGCTCCGAGACTTAGCGTGATTCATCTAGCCAGTAAGGTTTTTTCAGGCTGCAGTGTGAGAGTCAGACTTGACTGATTGCTGCGAGGCCACTGGCTCGCCTTCAACAAGGCACACGTCTATCCAGACGTGTTCAGATTTTGCGTGGCCTGGGCGCATGAGAAAAACTACCTCCTCAGCAGCTTCTTCGCAAGAGAGACATGGTAGTGGTGTCCAGTCAGCCAGTCAGACAGTCACGTCAGTCAGTCCGATCTCTGTGTGTGTATGCGCATAGCGTTGCAGATTTGCTTTGACCCTGTGCGATCCAAGTGGCGGGGCACCCGCAGCAGTGGAACTACGACAAGTCAGAGTGGTACAGGGTCCCGAAGGAGGACAAGCCGGTCCAGACGGATCTGGAACCGAGCTATTTGCAAGAAAACCCGTACCGCAAGAAGCCACCTCCGCCTGCGGGTCGTCCCCCCTGGGGTTACGGTTCGAATGCACAGGCGCCTGAGGGCAGTGATTGAAGCTAGCTGGCTGCGGCAATATTCTTCAGTGTTGGTGTGTCAGAGAATGACTCATTGGCAACAATTTATAGCATCCCCCCATTCAGGTGCCGCAAGACCAGGCTGCGGAAGCGAAGGCCAAGGCAACTTGCAATGCAATTTGTGGAAATTGCCCCCACTGTTCACTTCACTGTTCACGTGGTGTCCCAGCAGCCAAACTTCTCCAGTGCCGCTGCTCAGGCGTCGTCAGAGCAAGACGCAGCCACTTGGTCTGCAAGTACAGTATTAATTATTGGTGTTCCTCGATTCTGACAATGACAATCTTGTCGCTGCAAAGGCAAGACCAAAGCAGCCCACCACTCCTAAGGACAATGACAAGGTGACTTGCATTGCAAGATTTTGCTTGGTGAGTGCCTGCTATTGATCATCGTTGCTGCTCAGGGGCCGTCAGATCAGCCTGGCACGGGAAAGGCCGAGACGACTTGTGCGGCAACAATTATTTTGTAGCACGTCGTCTGGATGAGCTCTTTTGTGACGGCGGCACTTGTTCAGGCGCCATCACAGCCGCTCGCCGCGCAGAAAGCCGCCACTCCCAAGGGCAAGGCGACTTGCTTGCTCCGCAAGAAACCCGAGTTTCTTATTCGGTGAGTGCTTGTCGTTGTTGCTGCTCAGGCGCCATCAGATCAGCCTGGCACGGGAAAGGCCGAGACGACTTAAAAGATTAATAGTGTGTCGGCGTGTCTGTGTGAGCTCTTCTGTGATGGCGGCACTTGTTCAGGCGCCGTCACAGCCGCCCGCCGCGAAGAAAGCCGCCGCTCCCAAGAATAAGGCGACTTGCTCTGCAAGAACCAGAGTTTCTTATTCGGTGAGTGCTTCTCAGACTCCATCAGATCAGCCTGGGACGGGAAAAGCCGAGACAACATGCAATCCAGAACCCAGCAGCGTGAGGGAGTGTGAGCTCTTCTGTGGCACCTGTTCAGGCAGTGATACAGTCACAGCCACAACTGGCCCGTACCGCCGCTCCCGAGGAACAGGCGGCGACTTGCTTTGCAAGAAAACCGGTTTCTCATTTGAGTACTGCGTGCTTCGGTGCTGCTGCTCAGGGGACAACGTCGCCAGAGCCAGAGGCGACTTGCACTGCTCACAACTGCAATTTGAGTGAGAGTGTTTGAGTGGCTGGGTTGGTCGAGTGTAATTCTGGCCGTTGTTGCATCAGGCGCAAAGAATAAAAGGCCCGCCGCCGTTCACTCATGAGGCTTCTAATCTCATTATTCACTGCGAGGGTAATTCAGTCAGTCAGCACTAGTCACTGATCGCCGCTGCTGATGACGAGGCCCCTACTATCACTCCTGGCGCCAACGTCGCGACTTGTAATGCAATTACCGCATGGGAGTTTGTGGATCGGTGGTCAATGAATCCAGGAAAATTCTTGTTGAATTCTGTCTAGTTGTAGTGTTGTAGTGTTCCGAACAACTACCGCAAATGCCTTGCAGTGCATGTGCATTAATTGGCCGGCCGCTGCGACGGCAGCGACTGAACAGTGGCTGCAAGAACTCATCTCTGATCAGGCATCACCACCGTTGTTGGACATTTTTCCAGGCCAGCAAGACAAGGCCGACGTGACTTGGCATGATAATATTATTATCAGTATATTATCATTATAATTTAATAATTATTAGTATTAGTATTAAAAATTAGTATTATTTTTTAATATATAATATATGTATATATATATATATATATTATATAAATAAATATATATATATATATATATATATATATTAATATATTAATATTTTATTAGTATCATATATATATATATATGTATATATATATATATATGTTTATTTATTTATTTGTTCATTTATTTATTTACTTTATTATTGTTATTATTTTCACCGCTGCCTTACGTTGCAATGTAAGTTTTGCCTGAGAAAAAAAAAAAAAAAAAAATATTACGATAATGCAAATATCAACAGTACAGTGGTTTTCAAAGATAAGTAATTTACATTAGGTTTGATTTGACTTATTTAGTTGAATAAATGTTGTAAATAAATACTTCTGACCATCAGTACTTATTATGTGAATAGAGGCAGTAAGTAATAAACAACAATGAATTCAACTTCGTTTGCATTAGATAATGATTTTTCAGACGCGAAAGAAATGTCATTAATTACTTGTGGGTACTGCGCAGTTGTCGCCACAACCACCGCCCCCATCCACGAGGCACAGCCGCCCACATCCAGGAGCAAGGCGACCTGCGCTGCAATGCACAATCCAATCGAATCACGACAATGTCATGAGTTCCAATTTGAACGAGTAACCCTTGCGGCTCAGGTAAAGCAGTGTTCGGCGGTGGTGCCGGGCCCTGCCAAGGCGACTTGTGAAACATAGATTGATGAATTGCTGTGCGTTGGCGATTCCTGATCAGGCGGTTCAGATGAAAGAACCTCCGCCAAAAAAGACGGCACAGCCGAAGGCAAGTCCTCCACCCGTGCCAGACGAGCCAACCGCAGCTGGGCTGGATTCAGAGCAATTTTCGTTTACACTGAAGCCATTTGCTCTCTGTACAGGAGCCAGAGACGCCCTCAGAGCAAGAGTTCCCGACCATGGCTCCCTCCTCAGGCAACAAACACATGGTCCATTGGAGCCTCATGCTCTGAACAACCGTGCTATAAGGACGATCTAAGCTATGATGCCTGGGGCAGCTATCAGCCTGGCAAAGCCCGACCTCCAACTGAGGACAGTGATTCTGTTTGTCTCGCAAAGAGTTTCAGCCTCGCATCAACCTGCAGGACCACATCGTGGGGCCAGACGAGGAGACTCGTTGCAGTTTCTCAGATGTGTACGGCCGGATATAGCAGTCGGTCTGGTGTTGAAATCATAATATTGAAAAACCTTGGCAAGATGAAAACCAAGACAACGGCGAGTCTTGGCCGGCAACCAACAGATTTGCTTGCTACACCAGCGAGAGACAACAACTTAGACTTAGATTAGATTCTGAGGAACAAACAACACCCGCCCCGGTCTACAGACATTTCGACGGAGCTAGTTTTGGAAGGCCAAGCAAATATCGACTCAGGATGCTGATGACAGTGTCAACAGCTGGCACAGTAGCATCAGCTCAGAACGCTGGCTCGAGGAAGAGTGGCCAGCAGATGAAGAAGAGGCTGGCGAGTCTTGGCAGGCAAAAGCAGGCTAAAACAGGGGGTGCGCCACATGTCCAAGGTCAGATTTGCCATACTTGAGACACTGCTATTCCGAGGGCGCAGCAACCGGCCCTCAAGAACACCAAGAGTCTTGGTCGGCAAGAGCCACATGTCCAGGTCTGTTTCAGCACCTTAACTTCAACGGTTGCCGTAACCCGAGGGCGAAATGCCGGTCGATGAGCAGGAGGAACACCAGGGCGGTGGGCAAGAGCACCAGGGCGACGGGCACGAACAGCAGGACTCTTTGGAAGAGCAGGTCAGAACACGGTGCACGCCACATTTCGCAGCTTTAGCGTGTAACCTTAATTTAATAAGGCTAGGAGGCAGAACCAGGTACGACTAGTAGGGTTTCTGCCATTAATATGTCCAAAGTCAGATATACAACCTTGTGAGTAATTATCTATTCGGAGGACACAGCCGTGGGCCTTGAGGACCACGAGGCGGAGCAGCCAGAGCAAGAACACGAGTTTTTGTCTGCAACAGCCGCATGTCCACAGACAGTCAGTTTTTTTCAGAAGTTACACTGCGGCATTATTATATAATATAAAACTACTTAATCCCTTATATTGCCGGTTTCTGAGGACGAAGTGCCGTGCGATGAGGATGGGCAAGAGCACGGACACCAGGTTTCTTTGACGGCAAGAGCAGCTAGAATCCGGTGTGCGTCACATCTCGCAGCTTCAGCGTGTAATACGTACAGAGTACATTAATAATGAGTTAACTAACACTTGAGACCAGGAAGCAAAACCAGGTAAGTATAGGGTCCATGTGCGTGTCCAAACTCAGATTTGCCGCGCCATCAGTCAGTGCCAGTTAATAAATAAATAAATAAATAATGAATCGCACCGTGTCTAAACCGAGGACGAAACCCCGCACGATGTGTGCCACGGGCACCAGGACTCTTTGACGGCAAGAGCAGGTCAGAACACCACATGTCAGACGTCCAAGATGAGCTTGATTTTGTTGTTAATTATATTTTTCCGAGGATGCAACCACCGGCGACGGGCGTCAGAAGCCGCACGAAGACGATTCTTGTCGGCAAGAGCAAGTGAGAATGGGTTCGAAAGGTGCCGGCCAGATGTCGCAGGTTTGTTCTCGTAGATTAGATTGGATGTGATGTAAATTTAAAATGTGGTTGATTCCTTGCATGGGGTGCCGCGAGAGGAAGACTTCATTTCGACGATGTAGCACAATATAATTAATGTAGCAGTCATCATATCATATACTTGCCAAGTATTGGCGAGGCTGGATCTCAGAGCTACTACCCTCCCTCACAGGCAAGGCAGGACCCGGATTCTTGGTCCTGAATATGACTCGGACATCTACAATCGCTAACATTGACACTTAGTATGTATATTCTAATTTAATTAGTTAGTTACCAGGCTACCATGAATCTTGGGAAGCGGATTCTTGGTTCAAACTTGCAGGATTGACAATTGAGAGTCAACGGGAGTAAGCTTGCCACATATCCCTGTTGCCGGTGCAAGCAATAAACTTGGGTCAGGATACTGCTTCTGGAGCAGATTGATTTAGCACGACGAATGACGTTGTCTGACTTCTACCACACACACACAAGATGAGCAATCAACTAGTGCTGAGTGTGTCTTGATTCAAGATGATTTCATTCTCAGGCCGACAGCGGTTGGTGCAACTCCCGGCAGCATCAAAACTGGAGCCAGCAAGACTGGAGCCAGCAAGACTGGAGCCAGCGAGACTGGAGCCAGCAAGACTGGAGCCAGCAAGGCTGGAGCCAGCAAGGCTGGAGCCAGCAAGACTGGAGCCAGAGCTCGTGGGGACAAGGGCCAGGCTATGATGATTCTTGGTTGGTACACAGGGGCAAGGTTTCATGAATATTCGGAAAGCAACTACTTAACAATATTTAATACCAACACAATCAATCATTGTTAATTATTAATGTTCCGAGGAAAGCAAGTGGCACGACTTTGAGCAGGAGCAGCCCCAAAATGATGATTCTTGGCTCGCAAGAGCAGGTATTAGGTTCAGTCCTGGAACTAAATTTCAAAACTGCAGAAATCATACTTATTACTATCTATTACTTACTGATTCTCAGATTCTTCCTTCGTCCGCACGGGCTCAGTCACGATGATAGTTTCTGGTTAGGAAGGTCGTTAGTGGTAAGTTGCCAGCCCGGAAATCGTCAGCACGGCTCGTCACGAGTCGGCAAAGGAGGCCAACGTGAATCGTTTCCAAGAGCAGGCAGGAGTGTTCCGCTACAGAGCCCGACAGTTAATCCGAAAGAACTGCGCCAGCTAGAGCTCCATCTTCTTCGGTAGCCTGAAGATGCATGAGGATATTCTATACAATACTGCTTACGTTTGTTTCAAGAGCTCAGTAGAACATGCTCCGAATAGCAGTTGTTGGCCAAAATACAAGTCAGCCTTTCAACTTCGGCATCCCTTGTACCTTGGACAGAAACCTGGTCTGGTCAGGGCTCACATGACTGAGTCTGCGGTAGGACGCCAGGAAGCTACAAGAACAGCATCAGAACACGTTTAATTGCAATTCGGCATGTCACTCCGAGGATGAAAGCTAAGCATGACGCTCCGTCTCATGCTATATCCTCAAGCATTGTCTGCTGTAAGTTGCATATTTCATTGGCTAGGCCTGCAACTTTTTCACTCCGAGGAGGCGGAAACCAGCACTGGCAAGAGTCAGCAAGGTGGCTCCTCCGGGGGAGATGGAGAAGTCCAGCATGATTCTTTGCTTACAGTTGCAGTTTCTCAGATGTAATACATAATATTTAATAATACATACATACGTACTTACATATATATATATATATATAATACATATTATAAAAGATATATATATATATATATATATATATATATATTATGTATATATAATCTATCTATCTATATATATATATATATATATATATATGTGTATATACATAATACAATATAATTATATAACATAATATAAACATATATAAATAATAGTTCATAACTTTAACTGTTTTTGTCAGTCCGAGGACACGACGTCCGGCACTGGCAAGGCTCACGGAGGTGGCACTTCCGAGAAGAAGGAAGACGAAGCCCAGCATGAGTCTTGGTCCAAAAGCAGCAGTGGTCGTTTGACTCACTTACTTGGATAGAGAGCAGCGTGCACCTCTTTATGGCTAGCCATTGCTTGAGGAGCCTCGAGGCGACGGAGGGTCACCAGAATCCCGGCAGCAACAAATAAGAAGTTTCAAGCAGCAGTGCATGCAGGTAGAAACGAAGCAGAATGCGATGAGTCCAACACAGAGTCGCCGATGTCCAGCAAGACACCGACCGAACCTGCAATTGAAATCAAAGAAGCCTGGCAATTGTGGGTAATGGAACCTGGTCGCAGGGCGTATGAGCGACCCAACTCAGAGGCACCCGGCAGCAAACAAATTCATGTCAGACATGACATGGCAAGACAATTTTGTTTTAAGTGGTACATGTTTTCCTTATTTCCGGGAGATAAGGACATCATGCAGATTCGGGCGCAAGAGCTGCATGACATGGCAGCCGCTGCCAAGGCGAGACGCAGCCAGAAGACGCAACCGCCAGAGCCACAGGAGGGAGGAGACGGGCACCCGACAGAAGATCAGCGGAAGAAGCTGTTAGAGGCAGCCTCCTACGGTGTTGATGAGCGAGAGACTGCCATGGCGGAGAAGGGCAAGATTCGCTTGGCCGCCGACGAGGTGCCGGACCCCTGTAGCCTGTAGCCTAAGTAAGTAAGTTGCTTAGACAGCTGACAAAGAGGTCGAGCCAGACGGTCCCGACGACGTCTTCGATTATGACAGGGACCTGGAGCCACAGCAGGACGGGCCGCCAGAAGCCCGAGTGGGTATTGCATCATACGTTCTCATGAAGCAAGTGCACCATTAGTAATAAGGCGATGGCAGTGACTCCAGCTGAACCGCCAGAACATGAGGACGCTTTTGAAACGCTCGGTTACAATATGATGAGCTGTGTCCGGCGTCCCGGCTGGTACTAGCTGCTGTCAGACTTGCAAGATCTTTTAGCCCGTGCGACGGGCCTCGCGGCAAGATCTTTTCTGCACGGAGTGCGGCGGAAGTTTTTATCGAGCTGATTTGTAGTTCTGTATGACATGATGTAATGGAGAATGTTAGTTAAGTTGACTGAAGGAAGAACTCTTAAGTGAATTGCTCCGTGCAGCGCTTGCCCCCGCGAGAGACCTGAGTGTCTTCCAAGAACGTCGACAGAGTCTCTTCCCGGCTTCCCGTCATAGATAGATTTCAATGAAGCAGTCTTGCCGCGTGCCGGGCAAGATCTGGCTGTCAGTCTCAGGCAAGATGATGCCATAGGCAGGACGGACAAGAAAATAAAATACCGCATCAATGAAGTCATGGGTTCCCCAATCTGTAATTTTATTCCAGTTCCAGCTCTGCCATGCGGCCTCCAAGCAAGAGTCACGAGTCTGACAGGAAGTCCAGCGCCCGCAACTTGCGCAGCGAGCTGATAAATAAAGCAAGCTCTGACCTTCCGTGCACATGCACCGTTTGCGTTCGAAGTTTGGATTCATTCACGCTGGATTCTCTTTGCCGTGCAGGTTTGGAGCCAGAGCGGTCTGCGAGCTTTTACCGGCTTGGCCCTTAGATATTCCACGTAAGCGAGCACCACTTCGGTCTGCGGAGAGCAATTCTTGGCCAAGAGTGTCGGCAGCATGTCTCGGAAGGGTGGGCTTGTTTGGTGGCCGCTTGCAAGCGGCTTGGTTAGGAGACAGCATGGGAAGCAGCGATATTGTTACGCGGCATCCGTCCGCGCTACAGCTTGACCCTCAGCGGTACAAAACACGTCTGTTTCGCTCAGTTCCTGGCATGTTGTGTGCAGTTGCGAAGTCTTCAGTGGTTGAGCGTGCAGGAGCATCGTTTTCAAACCATAGCATGATGTATTTTTTATAGGAGTAAATGGGCCGACTGTGAGGTCGTGCCCGGGGAGTAAGATTTGAGCGAGCCGGGTCGACGAGCGGGAGGTCGCGCCGTGCTTGCAAGACGTCCATCGGACGCCGGCCGTGAGGTCGTAAGAACACCGGCTGGGAAGCTGAGTCGTACTACGGCAAGAATTAGCAACTGCGGTTGCTAGCATTGATCTCTTGGTGCGTGCCAGGCTTCGGAACCTGGCTACATGGGCCAGAGCCGGTCGGCGGAACCTGGCCAGATTCGTCAGAGCAGGCAGGTCGGCGGGGCGAACTCTGTGTGTCACCTGATCCGAAGTTCACAGTCAGTTGATGCGAGGTGTAGAATTTTGGGCCAGCGTCAGTGAGTGAGAGTCAGACATCTGAGAGGCTTGCAGCCTTTGCTATGCTGTTGGTTTGCATGGCAGGCAGGGACTACCAAGTGCCAACTGTTCGGTTCACGTACATTGTCAAATTCAGATGCTAGACTTCAAGACCTGAAGGTTTCTGGGTCTGTCCCTGGTGATGTGAGTGGAGTGCAAAGTCAGATTAGCAATGCAGCAAAGAAAGCCTAAACTGATGCGGCGTCTGGCTGAAGTTATCGCAAGCAAGATTACGTCGAAAATCCAGCGTGGGGTAGCCAGCAGCAGTTGGTAGCTTCAGTGTCCCACGGCAGGAAGCTCACCTAGCTTGCTGTCTTCTGCCTGTGGGAGACTCAGAGTTGACTCAAATGGACTCCAACTTCACGAGCTTGCTTGAACGGTTAACGTCAAGAGTTAGTGAGGGGGTCAAAGTTGTGTTATGGGCACAAAGTCGGTGCAGAAACAGTGCTTCATGTCATGCTCATGCTGAGGCTTGCACGAAGACAGCGTGTGGATGCAGGACTTCCCAGGCCCGAGTGTCGAGTCGGGGAAAGGAAC